TTGGGGGCCTTTTTTTTTTTTTTTTAAGGTTTTTGCCATAGGATGCAAGTGCTCACTGGAGAGGAACGAGACAGAGACACAATGAGAGGGAAAGGGAGAAATCACCCCCAAGGGGAGATGGCGATGCCACAATCCCTTCTCCTACTAAGATTTTGAGCAAGCATGTACATGTGCCCAGCATGATTTTTAAGCCGCTAGGTCTGGGACTTGAACCACGGTCAGCCATGTGGGAGCCCAGTGCCTTAACTACTATGCCACCTGTTGGTCCTTCGGTGCCATGTTTTAATCACTTGACTTCAGAACTGAGGAGCTATAAATTCTCAGCTGGGAATTCTCATTGCCCTTTTACAATTCCTAACTGGGGGCCGGGAGTGGTTAAGGGCACTGGACTCTGACATGGCTGACTGTGGTTCATGTCTGGACCTGGGGGCTCGCTTCTCTCTCTCTTTCTTTCTTTTTCTCTCTCCCCGCTCTGGTCAAAATAAAACAAACAAATAAATAAAGTTAAATAAAAAATAATTATTTAAAAAAAATAATTCCTAACTGAATGCTGGCATTCAATACACTTGTCTGTTCAAAAATTAGTTCTTAATCTACAACATGATAAAATGTTAAAAAGAACCAAACCACGTACCTTCCATCTTTCAGAGTGTTAACAATAAATCGGTTAATCTGGCAAATGCAGTTGCTGGACAACCGTTCTTCCTCAACCAGAGGGTTCAACTGTGTTGCCAACATGAAAGCTGAAAAAGAGATTACATTAACACTGAAACATTTCAATCTCGAGATTCTGAAAGGCGATTCCACCTGGACCAGCAAAGAAAAAGAATGCCTTAAATATGTTCCTGAAATTAAAACTACTCAGATTCAGTACAGAGAAAAACAGTATCATCTGCTATGTGTTAATTTGATAATACTCTTAAATGTGCTTTTTTTTTTTCTTTTTAAACTTTTGTCAGAGGGCACATGTGTTCATCAGAGGAAAAGTGATACAGCATGCCCCTTGGGGAACGGTCATGCTGCAGTCCCTTCCCTTCCATTTCTCCCTCTTTTAGGATTTTGGGCATATAAACACAAGTGCCTCACATGTTTTTCAAGTCATTAGGTCTAGGACTTGAACTGCATGGTTGGCCATGTGGGATTCAGCCACCTTAATCACCAGGCCACCAGGTGACCCAAGTGCATACTTCTTATTTATTTATTTATTTATTTATTTTTCAAGAGAGAGATTTTTTGCTATGGGTACATGTGCCTGCCAGAGAGAGAAAGGGACAGAAAATGAGAAGTCACCTCCTAGCAGGGATGACCACATCACAATCCCTTCTCCTCTATTCTCCTCTCGTGATTTTGGGCACGCATGCATGCACATGCGCCCAGTTTGAGTTTAAGCTACCAGGTCCGGGACTCGAACTGTGGTCGATTATGTGGGAGTCCAGTAATGTAACCATTACACCATCTGCTGGTCCCCCAAATGCATTTTTATTTAAAGTGTCTAAAATGATTTTTTCCACCATTAGTCTTAACAAAGACTAAAAGCATCTCTTCTAGGTTCTTCACATCGTTACTAGAGACAGCAAGCACATACTTGGTACATTCTCTCCTTTCTGTTTTAAAGTTTCCAACACAGAAATATAGCTACCCAAAAGGCAAGTATAAGACAGCCAACCCATCATACTCACTAAATGTCAATATCATCCTTAGGGAAATTAATCAAAGAAAACATAGAGCACCAGTTAGAGAAAATTAATTAAGCCAAGTGGCAGCTTTCCACTATATCCAATCTATTGTTAGAATGCGCTCTGCCAGTTGTAATCTATCTGAATGAAGTGCAGAGCCAAGCAAATGTCAGCTTCAGGAAT